TATTTTATTTTATTTTATTTTATTTTTTTCCTTTTTTGTCTTTTTTCGTGACCAGCAATGGATTGCAACCCTCAGTGTCGCGCCCGTACCGGACCGGGACCGGCAACGGGATCGCAACCCTCGGTGTTGCTCCCGCACCTCGCTCAGCCAGTGAGCGGCCGGTCTGTACATGGGATCTGAACCCTTGGTGGGAGCGCCGCCGCGCTCCCAAGTGGCGCACTGTAGCAGTGCGCCACCGGGCCGGCCCAATTTTTAAAAATTTTTTTATTTTTAGAGTTTATTTTCTGTTATAAAGTGATAGTGGCCATAGATGATAGTTGTATTTGTCTTTTCATGAACTTCTTTGGCTAAAACAAAGAGTTATCAACTCTCTGACGGCCCTCAAAAATTTTTTTTGAACATTTACTGTAACCTCTGGGAGAAAGTGTGAGAAAAGCATGGTGGCTAGCATTAGCCAGGTGCTTGTGGGTCAGAGAAGACCCCCTGTCCCAGTAGCTTGAGAAGCCAGGCAGAGGAGTCTAGGTTGAACATGGTAGAAAATGCGGAGTCCGGAAGATTCCTGGGCAGGGAGCTGGTGTGACGGCTGCCCAGCTTAGGAGGGGAACTGGAAGGGCTCTGGCCTGGACTGGCCCTGAGAGGGTAAGAGCAGGGGTCTGGCCGAGGGCCTGAGCGCTGGGGTCACACAGGGTGACCTGTCCTTAGGTAGATTAAGGAGGTCACAGTCATATTAGTGATGGAGACAGGGCTGTCAGGAGGGCCAGTGGGTTTGGAGCATGCGTTGGAGAATTTATAAATCCTGCCAAAATCCTAATGCAAAGATAGGGCTGGAAGTTGTTTGGGAATCATCAGCTTGGATGGGTTGCTGGCTTCTCAAGCTAACAGAGTGGTTGAGACCCTCACAGGAGAGTGCAGAGGAAGGGAAGAGCCAGGGCTGGGGTCTGTGCCTCTGGGAAGAGAGAAGAAGGGACTGTAAGAGATGAACAGGTCAGAACCAGGGATGGTCCAGAGCCAACCCTTAGCTTAAGAAGAGTCTCACAGAGAACGTGTCCATGATATGAGACTCTGCAGCAAAGATGGAGACAAGGTCACCATCTGGGCAGTGAAGTCATCAGAGACCTTGGGGAGCAGTTTTTAGAGTTCTCTTGGCAGGAAGGTAATGGAATGTGAAGGACTCTGGAGATGAGACCAATGGGAATCAAACAGAGATAGGCCAAGGAAAGGCAGCCCAGCAGCCTGCAGGCCCAGGGGTGGGTCCCTGATCTCTCTCCAACCCCGGTGCCAGGTTCCCACCTTGCGGGAGTGCGTGGGCTTTGGAGCTGTGCAGGAAGTGGCTGTGGGGCTGGTGCAGCCAGCCAGTGCAACCCTGTATGACTACTACAACCCCGGTGAGCATTCCCAGTGCCTGGCGTCCAGGGGAGGTTGGGACAGGTGTTCTCATATGGAACATCAGGAGCTGGAGCAGTGAGTAGCAGGGAGTCCTGGGGCTCCACGGGACTGGGGAGGCAGAGAGGAGAGGCATGCGCCCTAATGCTGCTCTCTTGCTTTTCTCCAGAGCACAAGTGTTCCGTGTTTTATGGGGCACCAAGTAAGAGCAAACTCTTGTCCACCTTGTGCTCTGCTGATGTCTGCCAGTGTGCAGAGGGTGAGACTCCAGGCCTGGGACAGGGGTGGGAAGCTGGTTGGCTGGGACTTCACACCGTCTCACCTGTGTCCCCACCCTCAGGGAAGTGCCCTCGACAGCGTCGTGCCCTGGAGCGGGGGCTGCAGGATGAGGATGGGTACAGGATGAAGTTTGCCTGCTACTATCCCCGAGTGGAGTACGGTCAGTCTTCCTGCCCAGGGCCCTGGCCTGACCCTCTGTCACTGACCAGCTGTTTTAGTCTCTCCGGTGTGCCTGCTCCCCTCACAGGCCCCTGTGGCCTCTTCGTTCTGAGCCTTGGGGTAGCTAACCTTCTCTCCCTTCTCCTGATCCCTCTAGGCTTCCGGGTCAAGGTTCTCCGAGAAGATAGCAGAGCTGCTTTCCGCCTCTTTGAGGCCAAGATCACCCAAGTCCTGCACTTCAGTATGAAGGGAGCTAGAGAGGCGGGGTGGGAGGAGCTCTGGGTTTGGGGTCTGGCTGTCTGGAGTAGTGAAAATCCAGATAGGTCTGAGCACAAAGCCTCTTAGCAGCCTTGGGCTTGCCCATAAACCGGAGCAGCAGCACCTCCGGTCGGGAGTGGCAAAGGTTAAAGTGAGGGTGTTGGCAGCACCTGGCCCTGCGCTCGGCCCACACCTTGTCTTTCCTCTGACACTCTCGTGCACGTTCTCCTGCAGCCAAGGACACCAAGGCCACTGCTGGCCAGACCCGCAACTTCATGGTTCGAGCCTCTTGCCGCCTTCGCTTGGAACCTGGGAAAGAATATTTGATTATGGGTCTGGATGGGGCCACCCAAGACCTCAAGGGAAAGTGAGTCATCCGGTCCCCTCAGTCTCTCACTCTCCTCATGTCCCTTGACCTTCCTTAGAGAACAGATCTCCAGTGCCTAGGCCCTGCCCCCCAGAAGCCCGGTGCCTCGTGCCCTCCACTCCCACCTGCTCATCCTTCTGACCCCTGCTGACTGCCCCTTTGTCCCCTGCAGCCCCCAATACCTTCTGGACTCAAATAGCTGGATTGAAGAGATGCCCTCTGAACGCCTGTGCCGGAGTACCCTCCAGCGGGCAGCCTGCGCCCAGCTCAACGACTTCCTTCAGGAGTACGGCACTCAGGGGTGCCAGGTGTAATGGCTGCCCTCCCCCTCCCCCAGGAGGAGCCTGAGCAGGCAGAGGCAGTGCCTGGTCTGCTGCTGCTCCTGACTCCTGAACACAGCCCTGGGCAGGGTTGGTGCATAATAAAGGCTTTTGGCAGCAAAGTGTCAGTGTGTGTCTTAAAGCCTGGGTGACCCTTGGGTTGTCCAGCTCTGCCTGAACCCTCCCAGATGCCGCATGAAGGGCTTAGTCCATCACGGGACCACCTGAGCAGAACTGTGCCCAACAGTCTGTACTCTGAGGACCAGAGTCTACACCGAGGCCTCCACTCAGTGTTTCTGAAGCACTCCACTGCCCGGATATCACCAGTCACCACAGCCTCAGGCAGGGCTTTGTGCTGAGCTGACCCCTCAGCTCTTTTGCCTTATGAGCTGCCATCCAGCCACACGTCCCCCACTCTGTCCTCATGCAGCTGGCAGTTCTGGAGTCTGTCGTTTTTAGCTGAGTCCTGGTTTGTTAAAAGCCTGCTGATGCTTGATCCTACATGTCAGCAGGATGGCTTTAAGTTAACTTTCCCAGAGCTGTGCAATCCTTAGGTCTGATTTCCAGGTGCTGGTTTTAAACAAGCTGAATGGCTGACTTTGGTCCTCGCCCTGCTTGCCTAGCTTTGCCTCATTTAGTGGCACCATTGGGTCTTCAATGGTAACACAGAAACCCATCCAAAGAAATAGATCAGTTTTGATGGAACCAAGACAATTCAGCAGCCTGCCATTTGGTCCCTCAACAGAAATTCATGGAACTCTTGCCCCATGCCCAGCCTGTGCCCGGGACCAGACATGCAGCTACTCACTTGCTCTGCAGCTCATAGTTGGGGAGACAGAGAAGACAGGCAGTCCCCATCCTCTGAAAGGGGTGATGTCAGGGAGCTGTGTGGTCCTGTGGGGCGCCTAAACCGGTTGGTGGCAGTGCCAGAAGTGGGGTAGGGAAGGCTTCCTGGAGGAAGTGACATCTAAGTTGGGTTCTGAGGGTGGAGAAGGAGTTGGACAAATAGAGCAGGGGTGGATGAAGGCAGTGGGGGCAGAACAGGATATACATACAAAGGCCCAGAGGCTGGGGCAGGACAGCACATTTGGGGGCACTGTATGTAATCATGTTTCGAATTTGGACTTGGAAGTGGGATGGAGGAGATGGGGATGGCGAGGTAAGTGGAGTCAATTTATGAGGGGATGTCCACGAGCATGCCGGCTTTCCAGTTCACTCTCCTTTTGAATTGAGCCCTCTTAGTCCACGCAACTTTGCGAAGTTCTGACCTTTCCCAGATGTCTCAGAGGCTTCCTGGGGTTCTTGCGCACATTGCTCTGTGGCTGCCCATCAGAGCTCTCTCCCAAAAGCTGGTCTGCATGGTGGTGGCATAAACCCATTTACCAGAGCCAGGGATTTAGCTGCAGTTTTGCAAGACAGGGCCTGGGGCTGGGAGGCTGACCATGAAGAAGATGACAGCTATTGTTGGAAATCCCACCCGTGTTTACTCCCTCCCAGTCCTGGGCATGGGTCCAGGCTGAGCCTGAGCCTCTTCCACCAGGACTCTCAGCAGTTAACTGGTCAAGCTACTGGGCGGCACAGCCGGGATCTAGACTCAGCTCTCCAATGTCACAGCCTGTGCCCTGGGTAAAGTTCCAGGGGGAGAGAGACCCCCCTGGGCACTGGGTCTGTCAACAGAGCCAGGGATGGGGGATTGGGGGTGGTGTGGCCCTTAGGTCACCTCTAACCTCTCATACAGCTCCCAGGCAGCCCTGACCTCACTCTGAGTCCTGCCTCTCCCCAGACCCCTCAACTGCTTCCTTGCCCACAGAAGTGGTCCCTGATAGTCACTTGGTCCGGTGGCACCCTCACCCCTTATGGCTACAGCTCCCAGGTAGGGCTGGATCCAGATCCAGCTGTGGCTATTGAGCTCCTTCCTGGGGACTTTGGATTGACGAGGGCATTCGCAGTGGTGCCAGGAATCCACACGCTCCCTGGGCTGGACCTGTAACCTGCAGACTCTGACCATGAAGGCAGTCCTGTTCTGCCTGTACCTGGACGCACTAGAGACCTGACTGCAAAGAGAGAGGAGAGGAACGACAGAGCAAGGAAATTACCTGCCTTCAGGGCTTTTTCTGTTCCTTATCCCTGGCCTTCTAGGGCTAGTGAGGTCCCCTCCCCTGCTTTCCTGTACTTAGGTTCTTTGAGATACCCCTGAATTTGTGTAACAATTCTTATTTTTATCTGAAGCCAACTCAAGTTGGTCTCTTTTTCTTGCAGCAGAAGAGAGGTGCTCCTAGTGGCTAAGGGTGCAGATTCTGCAGTCAGATGGCCAGGCCTCAATCCTGGCTCTGCTGCTTTCTAGCTATGCTCTTGGGCAAGCCACTCAGCCTCTTGCCTCAGTTTCTTCATCCATAAAGTGGGGTTGTGAAGGATTGAGTTAATGCAGGTAAAGCACTTAGAACAGTGTCTGGTGCATGGTAAGTGCTCCAAAATGGGGGACCATAGAATTCTTTGTCTTCAGGGTACTTTTGAGAGTGAAAGACGCCTTATTAATAAGTACACATGGATTAGGGATATATGTTGAGATGATGCAGGCAAACCAGGCCATATGGTCACCATATCTGTAAGTCTAGAGAAAGCCCAAAAAAACTCCCCACAAATCACTTCCACCTCATTTTCTCCTTCAGGCAATCCTGGAGGGTGTATTAGGCAGGTACTGTCATTTTCTCTCTGAGACAAACTTTGTATCAGTAAGTGGTCAAAGGTGGGTTGGCAAAGGGGGAGGTCCAGGCCAGGGGTGGGTGGCAGGTGGGGGGCACATTTGCCCACATGTCTGACGTGGAGCCAGAAAGCTGATCCGGCTGTAGGAGAAAGGTCAGGGTTGCGATTCCCTTTCTTTTTTCTTGATGGATGGTCAGTCTTTGAAATGTGGACTCCCCAAGGCCAATGAGACTGGTGCCATTCCAGGAATGTGCCACTCTGTGGGCGGGACACTCTGTGGGCAGGATGGTCGGTGGGAAGGGAGCTGAGGGTAGGGGTCAAGGGACGCCCCCAAACAGCCAAAGCAGCAGGATGGATGGCTGGGGCTCAAGAGCTATAAGAGGCTGTGCTAGGGCCTTTGCATAGGTCTCTGGCCATGCTGTTCCTTGGGCTGCTGCTGCTGCTGGCCCTGCTGGCGGGCGCCCGCCTGCTGTGGGGATGGTGGTTGCTCAGGAATCTCCACCTTCCGCCTCTCGCCCCAGGTTTTCTGCACCTGCTGCAGCCCAACCTTCCCATCTATCTTCTTGGCCTGACCCAGAAACTCGGCCCTATCTACAGGCTCCGCCTTGGGCTGCAAGGTGAGAGCCATCTCCCTCCCTGGCCCCACCATAGAAGGGCAGGGGAGTCCTCCCCCTGCTGACACCCTGTTGGCTCTCCCCTAGATGTGGTGGTGCTGAACTCCAAGAGGACCATAGAGGAGGCCATGGTCAGAAAGTGGGTGGACTTTGCTGGCAGACCCCATATACTGTCCTGTAAGGGCTGGGGGTATTTCTTGAGGGAAGAGGCAGGGGTTGGGAGAGGCAAAAGGTCAGGCCTTGGCTTCTTTGGTCAGCTCCCACCTTCCACCCCTCAATCCCACCTGCAGATAAGCTGGTGTCTCAGCACTATCCAGACCTGTCAGTAGGAGACTACTCCCTGCTCTGGAAGGCCCACAAGAAACTCACCCGCTCGGCCCTGCTGCTGGGCATGCGCAATCTCATGGAGCCCCTGGTGGAGCGGCTAACCCAGGAGTTCTGCGAGGTGAGGCTGGGATCCCATGCTCGCTGCGGGTCAGCTCACGTCTCCCAGCAGCGCCCCTGTGGCCTGGCCCGCCCAGCTCACGCTCCTTCTCCACAGCGCATGAGAGCCCAGGCTGGTGCCCCTGTGGCCATCCAGAAGGAATTCTCTCTCCTCACCTGCAGCATCATCTGCCACCTCACCTTTGGAGACAAGGTCAAGGTTGCCCTCACATCCCCTTGGGCCCAACCCTCAGCCCCTCCATGACCCTCTCCTGGTCCTGACTGAAAATATTCCCTCCTTTTCCAGCAGGAGGACACCACGGTACGTGTCTTTCACAACTGTGTCCGGGACTTGATGAAAACCTGGGACCACTGGTCCATCCAACTTTTGGACATTGTTCCCTTTCTCAGGGTGAGGAGGTAGAGCCCAGAATCTGCTGGGTCCTGGGAGAAAGGGTGGAGGTGGAGGAACCGGCTTCCTTCGTAGCAGCTACACTGTCTTGCTTCCTGCCCCAGTTCTTCCCCAACCCAGGTCTCTGGCGGCTGAAGCAGATTGTGAAGAACAGGGACCACATTGTAGAGAAGCAGCTGAGGCAGCACAAGGTGGGACCCACAGCCAAGGGTGCTGCTGCCCCAGCACCGCTGCTAGGCAGGTTATCAGTAGCCCCCCAGTTCTGGGCCTGCTGCCACCCCCTCCCCCCATCCCCAAGACAGGCACTCAGCCAGATCCTCTTGCCTTCCACAGGACAGCCTGGTGGCAGGACAGTGGAGGGACATGACGGACTACATGCTCCAAGAGGTGGAGCATCTGAGAGTGGCAGAGGGCCCGGGACAGCTCCTTGAAGGGCATGTGCACATGGCTCTGGTGGACCTTTTCATCGGTGGCACTGACACCACAGCGATCACCCTCTCCTGGGCTGTGGCTTTCTTGCTTCACCACCCTGAGGTGCGCCCTGAGGGGAGGCAAAAGACTCCTCCCTGGCAGCCTGGCCAGGGCCACAGGAACCCAGCTGGCTCTGCTCTAAGCACTGCATCCTGACTCAGGCCATGTTTGCCACGAGGGGGCAGGCTTCTCCCAGCTGGCACAAAAGCTCCGCTGGTGACTTAAGGGAGTGGCTGGAGGCTGGGAAGCTGGTGGTTAGCTGGGGAGGGCTTGGACACTGGATGTCAGGCTTGCCCCCACTTCCTAGATTCAGCGACGACTGCAGGAGGAGATAGACCTCGAACTGGGCCCCAGCGTCTCAGGCTCCCAGGTCTCATACAAGGACCGTGCGCGGCTGCCATTGCTCAACGCCACCATCGCTGAGGTGCTGCGCCTGCGGCCTGCTGTGCCCTTGGCCTTGCCCCACCGTACCATGCAGCTCAGCAGGTGACTCCCGAGGGTTAGGGATGAGTGAGGAAGGCCCGAGCAGGTCCTGGCCAGCCTCTAACTCTGCCCTCCCTCAGCATCTTGGGCTATGACATCCCCAAGGGCATGGTCGTCATCCCCAACCTCCAAGGCGCCCACCTCGATGAGACGGTCTGGGAGCAGCCACATGAGTTCCGGCCTGGTAGGTGGGAGGCCAGGGTGTGCCTTGCAGAGGTGGAGGTGGTGAGCACTGGTCCTGCTGGCTGCTGACACCATCCTGCCCTGTCCATCTGCCTGTAGACCGCTTCCTGGAGCCAGGCAAGAGCCCTAGGGCACTGGCCTTTGGCTGTGGGGCACGCGTGTGCCTGGGCGAGCCACTGGCACGCCTGGAGCTCTTTGTGGTGCTGGCCCGACTGCTGCAGGCTTTCACACTGCTGCCACCCGCGGGTTCCCTGCCGTCTCTGCAGCCCCAGCCCTACTGTGGCATCACCCTCAACATGCAGCCTTTTCAGGTGCGGCTACAGCCCCGGGGGATGGGGGCCCTGCGCCTGGGCCAGTGCCAGTGACAGGGTAGGACCACTGCCAGCCACGTGCCTCAGTTTCTCCTTTATTGCTCCCATACAACCCCTCCCCTCCCCCCTGTAAACATGGTGCTGTGAGATCGCAGGCAGAGAAGTCTTCCTCCGGTGGCTGGTGATGAAGGGGGCCCCGGATCTTCTTGGCGCGACCCCTCAGTGCTCGGCAGTCATACTGGGGTGCGAGAGAGGTGGGCAGCAACTCAGCCTCCCCCAGCCGGGGGCCGATAGCTTCTTGGCCTCAGCTTCATTTCCGTGAAGGGCACCGAGAACTCAAAGCCTTTCCAGTGGTACCAGCTCACTCCCTGGAAAAGGGTGGTCAAGAGAGTCACAGCTGGCCCTGCCATCTGTTCTCATCCCTGACTCTGTAGGAGGTGGTTCCCAGAAATCAGTCAACCTCCCCTCCCTGCTCCCTCTGTGACCCTCAACTGCAAAGGATTGAGGCTCAATCCCAAGCTGGCCCTTTCCGTCCAATAAATCATTTCCTCAAGATAACTCTGTGAGGTTGGTATTATTGTCCCATTTCACAGATGGGGACCTGAGGCACTCAGTGGCACATTCACTTGTCCTGTCACACTGTAGGTTCAAACCCAGGCAGGCTGAGCCCCAACCACCTCCAGCTGGAAGCTTTCTCCCTCACCTGGTGGTCCACTGTGCTCCCGTAGAGCCCATTGAGGTTGGCATAGTGGCAGTTCCTGTACCACCAGGCCCCTCGGTAGGAGACAGCGCAGGAGATGAGCAAGTTGTTGGGATCTCGATCACGAGCGGAAAAGACACTGCCACTGTGGTAGCTCATGGAGTCCCCTGGGCAGGGAGTGGCAAGGAGCGGTGAGGGCCTCCCCTCCCAGCCCACCCACCATCCTGGCCCACAGCACGCCCTTACCTGCGGTGCCGTGGTAGCCCTCGAGGTGGAGGCGGTAGTAGTCGGCAGCTGAGTCTACTCGGAAGGAGTCATACTGAGCGAACACAGCCTCGTCCCCAGCCCGCAAGTCTACGCGCATGGAGTAGTCACCAGCCTGCGTCAGGCTGTACAGGGCCTCATTGCCTGGGGATGGAGACATGCCCACATCAGGATCTAGAGTCCATGGGGTCCCCACCCCCTCCCAAGTTCCTCAATCCCTGTGGGGCACTAACCCAGCCAGAATTCCCCAGAGATGTTCCCAAAACCGTGGGCATAGTCCTCCCAGTCCCTCCAGAAGTCCGTCTGGCCATCCATGCGGCGCTGGAACACCTGGGCAGCAGGTGGGGGCACCATGAGACTCTGGCTCCTGGGCAGCTGTCCCTGCCCTACACAGACCCCTGGGTTTCCCACTGCCACCCACCAGCCAGCCACCCCCATCAGTCTCCATGTCGCAAAACACGTTCAGGGGCCTCTCGCGGTTGCCGTTGAGGAAGATGGTGGTGGTCCTGGAGGTGCTGGCCCCGTTCTGCATCTCCTCCCCACAGTCCCGGGGGAAGGGGATCCGCAGTCCACCTAGGAAGAAGAGAGTGAGGGGCTGGTCCTTTATCCAAACCTTAGATCCCTGCTGCCAACCTAGCCCCCGACCTCAGGCCCCTGCTCCCGGTACCAGTGGTGAAGGAGGTGGACACAGGCGGAGTGAAGCTCTCGCCCCACATGGCCCGCAGCCGGGCACTGTAGGGGGTGGAGGGAAAGAGGCCAAGGAGCTGGTGAGAAGTGACCCCTCCTGGGAGCAGGATCTCCTGTGGGACAGACAAGGGGCAGGTCAGGGGAGAGGGAGGCGCTGGGAGATCCAGAGGCAGCACCTCCTGGAATTAACCCAGGGAGGGGTGTCGGCCAGTGGGGTGGGGGGTCACCTGGGTCTGTCCACCAGGGGTATCGAAGCTGAGCAGGTAACCTGTGGGTGGGACTTCGGGTTCAATCCAAGTGAGCAGGGCCGTGCGGGGGGTCACTTCCTTGGCCTCCAAGTCCTGGGGAGCCTCTAACCCTGGGAGAGGAAGGTGGGAAGAGAAGAGGGGGATGAGCCCATCCTGGTGCCCTCGCACCTCCCCTCCCCTGTCCCCCAACCCCAGGCTGTACCCGTGGTGAAGGTAATGCTGGCTGGGGAGGTGATGTTGGGGCCCCGAAGGCCACGCACGGTCGCAGTGTAGTTGGTGTGGAGCACAAGGCCGTGCAGCGCGTAGTCCACAGCGCTGCCGGGGGCTGCAGCCTGCAGAGGCGGGGCTGGGAGCAGGGGTGGGTGTCAGCTTCTGCCCCTCCATGCCCTGCCAGTGTCCAGCCTGCCCCTGCCCTGCCCACCCCGAACAACTCCCCTCCAGAGGCCTCAGTCATGCTCACCTCTGGGGGCTGTGACCTGGACATCATATGTGTCCACAGGGTTCTGGGGGGGCTTCCAGTGCAGCAGGGCGGATCCCTCGGTCAAGTTCAGGGCACGCAGTTGGGTGGGGCCATCAGGAACTGGGAGAAGGGGAGGGGCTCAGAGGTGTCTCTGGCTGTTCTCCCTGCCCCTTACTTTCCCAAACTTCACTGGGCCTATCGTCCCCAACTGGAGCCTCCAGCATCTTCTCCCGCCCCAATTCACTCAACTTCCACCATGCTCTCAATTTCTCATCCCCCTAGCTCTTTCCCTGGGTCCCAGTCCGCTCACCTGTGGTAAGGAAGCCTGTGAGCGGCTCACTCTCCTCAAAGCTGCGGACGGAGACCACAGTCACCTCGTAGCGAGCGCCCGGGATCAGCCCCTGGAGCTTCTGGGTCTGGGCCCGGCCGTCCACCTGCACGCTCTGTGGCTCCCCTGAAATCATGTCGGTGGTTGGGAGGTTACCCAGCACCCCTGAGAGCAGCTGGAGGGTGGGCAGAGTGCAGGGGCAGGAGGAATGAGAGCAAACAAGGACATGGGCAAAACGGTGTCACCTCCATCTGCCAGCTGGTAGGAAACTTTGAAGCTGTCCACCCTGGATGGTGGGGGCACCCAGTTGACCTTGGCTGAGGTCTCCCTGATTTCGCTGAACTGGAGGTCACGGGGGCTCTCCAGAACTGGGGAGGAGGGCAAGGAGTCGTGGTGAGTGCAGGGCACCTCTCCTTCTCCCTGGGCCCACTGGCTCCAGACATGCTCACCACCCCCTTTCCACCACCCCCCCTTTGGGGCAGCGTGGGGCCTTGCCTGGGCTGAGGGTACGGGCAGTGCCCTGGATGCTGTCGGCCTTGTGGGGCCCACGCAGCCCATACAGCGTCAGGCTGTACAGGGTCCCTGGACGCAGGTCCCGGAGCACAGCCGAGTGCCGTGTCCCAGGCACAGTCAGTTCCCGCTGCAGCAGAGGACGTGGATATGGCTCCAGACTGCTTGGTGACGGGACCCCAAAGCGCAGCAAGAAGGAGTCGAAGGCCCCGAGCGGAGCCTCCCAGTTGAGCCGCAGCGAACTGGTGGTCACGTCAGTCACCAACAGCTGGGACAGGCGGGGCCCTGGCTCCCCTGGGGTCTGACCAGCAGGAGCTGGCCCTGCATGGAGTAGGGAGGAGAGAAGGGTTTGGAGACAGGGCACACCAGCTCAGTGGCCTGGGGCAGGGCCCTTCCACCGCCCCACCATGGACCTTGTTTCCCCATCTGTAAAATGGAGCTAGTGAGGGGCTTGCATCCCTGCAGAAGCATCTACAGCTGCAGCATGTTTGAGCAGAGCCCAGGGCTGCTCAGATACAGTCCCCTTCCTTCCTCCCTGGTACCTTTCTCATGCTCTTTCCCTATATTCCCCAATTTTGGGCACCCCCTTTCACCCATCTCAGTCTCAGATTAGGGGTGGGCAAGGCCTGGTGGTACCTGTGGTGCTCTCAGCTGAGATGGGTCCCAGGCGCTTCCCTTCATGGAGGCCGTAGAGGAAGAACTGGTAGGAGGTGCTGGGCTCCAGGCCTGAGATGAGGACCTTGTTCTGGTCGCCATCCACGAGCAAGGCCTGGGGCTGCCCATCTGTGTCCTGATACTGGACCACGAAGGAGTCAAAGGGGCCCCGGGCCACACTCCACGAGAGGCGCAGGGAGTCTGGGCTTGTGTCAGTCACTGTCAGCATCCCTAACCTGGGCTCTTCAGGGGGCTCGGGGGTGTCTGTGGCTGGCGTGTCCTCTTCTGGGGCTGTGTGGGAGAAGCCCGAGGGAAAAGCTGAGTGGTGGGTGCCTAGGGCCTTCCCCTTTCCACCCTGCTCCCAGTGAGGGGTCCCAGGGCTGGCCCAGGCTGAAGTGGAGACTTTACAGGTCCTGGCCATGGTAGCCAGCTGGAGAGACGGGAGGGACCGAGGCTCCTCTAACATCTTTCATCTCTACAATCTGCCACATCCCTGCTTTGGCACTGACTCCTGCCACCCATGGGGCCTCTGAGCCCCAACACTATGGCCTGTCTCCAGCTCAGGAAGCTGCTATGGACCCACTGCTCCCTGTGGGCTCCTGGGCTTGTCTGAGTCAGGTATTTGTTTTCCCTTCTGCACCCAGTGTCCCATCGGGCCCCACTGCTAGAGGTCCGCAAAGGCTCTGCCCCACCCAAGACGCCTGTGCTGACAGCCTGGGCACTTGCTCAGCTCAGGGCACATGGTGCTCCCTTCTGAAAAGCTGAGGGTGGAAGTGGCCAGTGAATGTGAGGGGCAAATCACACCAGCTGTTTCGGGCCCATGTGCCCCTGGTCAGCTGACCTGAGATGGGCGTCAGAAACCTCTGGAAGAGGAGCCTGCTTCATAAATGCAGCCACTTTTATTGGTTTCTGTGTCCCCACCTGTTTTGATTTCCAGTGATTTTCCATTTGAGAAATGCTCCTGACTCATCTATGGTAGGGAGGTCTGCCCCTGTCTGGGCAAGGCCACCCTGCTGGGGGTAGCAGCTTCCCCCACGAAGTAATGGGGGGAGAGCTGCAGCAATGGGGCAGAGAGTGGGGGTCGAGATGAGGGAGGCACTACCAGGCCTCCGTCCCACCTGTCCTGGCTTCTGCTTTTTTTCTTTGGTGGCTGGCCTGGCTGGTACAGGAATCCAAACCTTTGGCCCTGGTGTTATAATACCATACTCTAACCAACTGAGCTAACCGGCCAGGCTGGCTTCTTCTTTTGACCAAGACCATGATCAGTGTCAAAGGTGACACCACTGCAAACTCTTCCTTCCTCCTGGGCCCTGGCCAGGGCCCTCTCTTCCCACCTGCCTACTCCAGCCAGTCCCTTTGTCTTCAGCCCAGAGGCACAAGGAAACCCCTCAGTCCACCTTGCTAGAACCAAGCAGGACAGCCTCACCTGTCACTCCCAGGATGGAGACAGGGCCCAGGCGCTTCCCTCCCAGGAGCCCATAGAGCAGAAACTTGTATTTCCTTCCAGGCTCCAGGCCCACTATGGTGACCTCATGCTGGTCTGCGGTCACAGGCACTGCCTGGGGCTGCCCGTCCCTGTCCCTGTACTGGACCACAAAGGAGTCAAAGGGGCCCTGGGCCACCATCCATGACAGGTGCACGGAGTCTGAGGTCTCGCCAGTCACTGTCAGTTTCCCGAGGCGGGGTGGGGGCTGCGGCTCCTTCTCCAGGGGAGCTATACAGAGAGAGGGGAGAAACTTAGTCAAGAGGTGCCTTTACCTCAGCCCTGGCAATTTTGGGGAGGTGTGAGGGTCTGGAGAAGGGTCCCTGAAGTGTGGCTGCAGGGACAGCCACCTGAGGAGACAGACAAGCCTGCTCTGATCCTGTCACACAGGAATGAGGGAAAGCAGCCCTGTCTCCTCTGGAGGCCACTGCCCAAACTCCTTCCTGCCCCCTGCTGTGAACAAGGGTGCAGTAAATACGTAAAAGATTATCTCCCAAGAGAGGGGTGGCTGGTTATTCAGAGAAGGCCTTAGTTTCCTCTGAACCCCAGCCCCAGAGCTGAGAGGGACTTGCAGGGGGTGTCTGGGTAGTCAGGAGACACTGCTGGTGAGAGCCAGGTTGGGCACCCAGCCCCCTCATGGGCTCCCATGACCTCCCTTCATGGCCCTCAGCCTGGGCCATCCCTGCCACCTGTGTCTTTGGCCCTGCACTAACACCACGAGACCAGGGCAGCCATGTGGGGCGGAGGGAGGAGCTGGGGGCAGAGCTGGGAGAATTAAGAGCAGAGCAGAGAAGACACTTGCCCAGGTGGGGTGGGTGTTGAAGGATGCAGGCCGGAGGGAAAGCCCGTACCCACTCTCCACAGTGAGGGTTTGGGGCCCCAACTGGCCGGCTGCTCCGTCCTCTGGACACGGTGACTCATGGTCCTGGGTGTGGGGTAAGGGTCAGTGACCCACCCCACCCCTTCCTCAGGGGACTGAGTCATGGGCACAGTGACACCGGATTTTTCCACAGTCTTCTTGCAGCCAAGCCCTCTCTTATTTTCCACCTCTTGCCTCCGAGTTGGGACAGAGGGAGCAGGATGGGAACAATGACTGAGTGCCCGTGAGCATTACTCAGAACCATTATGCAAGTGAGGAAACCAAGGTTCAGGGGCAAGGGGACTTGTCCATGGTCACATAGCTGGCAAGGACTGGACAGGAATGGGGACACAGGTCTGCCTGTCGCAAAGTCTGGGCCCTTTATACTTCACTGGCCATCAGTGAACAAAGGAAACAATATGTATAAAATGCTCACAGCTGTGCCTGGCACACAGCAGCAACTTGCTTTTGCTGTTATGATTGTCATGCCAAGGCTGAAGCCAGAATAAATTTTGTGGAAAGGCCATGGGGCCGGCTCCCGGGGCTAGATAAGGGGCAGCTCTGGAAAAGGTGGGAGGCAGGGCTGGGCTCACCCGTGGTGCCATCAGCAGAGACTGGGCCCAGCCGCTTCCTGCCCGCCAGACCATAGAGCAGGAACTTGTATTTCCTATTGGGCGCCAGGCTGGGGATGGTGACTTCCCGCTGGTCTGCAGCCACCGGCACCACCTGGGGCTGCCCGTCCCTGTCCTTGTACTGGATCACGAAGGAGTCAAATTCGCCCTCAAGGACTGTCCACAAGAGGTCCACGGAGTCAGGGGTCACATCAGTCACTGTCAGCTCCCCCAGGTGGGGAGAGGGTTTTGTGTCTGGGACTGCAAAACAGAATGAGGTGCATTAAGAGTGACAGAAAGCTCATGGCAGCAGAGACCCTTGAGCTTCCTCAGGGCGCCCTGGCTCTGTGAGCTGGCCTGGGGAGCTGGGAGGGGGTGACTGGACCAGGAGTAGGGATAAAAGAGAAGCCAGGCAAGAAAGCAAGTGTCCTTTGGGATGGAGGCAGAGTAGGGAAAAAGATGGGAGTGAGGGGAAAAGGAGAGGTCAGGGCATGCATGTCACTGGATCCAATAAATAAACAAATGGGTCCTGAGGCCCCGAGGCCTGGAATGTGCACATAAACATAAAATTCCAACTGTCACCACAAGGGGGCGAAGGATGGCCAGGGGTTTCCCAGGCGGAAAGAGGCCTCCAGCCCCACTCACCAGTCTTTGCATCCACAGAGACTGGGCCATGGCGCTTCCCATCCCGGAGTCCAAAGAGTAGGAACTTATACTTGCGGGCAGGGCCCAGACCCGAGACTGTGACCTCACGGAGGTCTGTGCTCACGGGCACTGCCTGAAGCTGCCCCTGCCCATCTCTGTACTGGACCAGGAAGGAGTCGAAGGTGCCCTGAGCCACTGTCCACGAGAGACGCACTGTGTCTGAGGTCACTGCTGCCACAGCCAGCTCGCCCAAGCGGGGCTCCACAGGGGGCTCTGTGGGCAGGAAGCCTGGAACAGAGCAGAGGAGTGAGGGGTCAGCAAGTGCATTCCCCAGGCTGTGAAACAAACATTGTATAGCAACCTCTTACGAAGCACTTCCTATGTGCCAGGCATGGCTGTAAGCAGTTCACAAACTGTGGCGCATTTAACCCTGCAAAGCATAGGAAGTGGGTGTTATTATTATTATCACCCCTATTGAGCAAGGATCTGAGGCATAGAGAGGATTAGAAATACTTGCAAAATTGCACAGTTAGTACATTTGCAGGCAGAGTCAGAACAAGGCAGCCTGATTCTAGAGCATGCTCCAAGCCACTGCTGTGCCCGGGAAGAAAGCCAGCAGCAAATGCACAACTGGGAAACCTGGAGGTTCTGAATCAACACGTGAGCAGGGAAGCTAGGCTTTATGGGGCACAGACTACATGCCCTTCTGAAGCCAAACGAAGTCTCCACTGATCCTCACTCAATTCAAGGATGAGGCAACACTGTTAGCAACATTTGAGAAAAAGAGGCGGGAATCTACAGGCCCATTGCTAAGAGTAGCTGAGATCCAAAGGGAAAAACAAGAGAGCAATAGAGAGAAACTCACTGGTCATGCCAATGGTGGACACAGGGCCCACGCGCCGCCCCTCGTGGAGGCCGTACAGGTGCATCTTGTACTTGCGCCCAGGCTCCAGGCCCCCCACGGTGACCTCACTCTCCTCGCCCCCAACATGCACCACCTGGGGCCGCCCGTCCCTGTCCTTGTACTGGACAGTGAAAGAGTCAAAGCGGCCCTGGGGGACAGTCCAGGAGAGGCTCAGTGAGTCTGGGGACGATTCTGTCACTGCCAGCTCCCCCAGGAGTGGCTCCTCAGGGGGTTCCGGGGCCTCCGTGCTGGGTTCTGTGGGGCTGGGGGTCTCATCCACCTCTGTTGGGGTGGGGGCCTCTTCTTCTGCAGCTGAGGAAGAGAGACAGAGAGGGTGAGGCAAGGTGCCTGGGGATGTCCTGGGGTCTTGGAGAGAAGGATGGACCAGCCTTGACCATGACTAGAGACCCTGAAGTTAGTTCACACAAGCCCATTTGGGGCTCGGTGGTCCTGCTGGGCTGACAGCTACCAAACATGCCCAAGCTCCAGGGTCAGCTATGGGCTCCCAGGGTAGCCACCACTACAGCACAGCTCTCCATGACCCCTGACTGCCCAGGAGGAGCCACGGTCAAGCACAGAGGACGGACAAAGGGAGCCACAGCCTCAGCCACAAGCAGGTCTGTGGTACTGACTAAGATCTCTGAACCATCCCCTGCTCAGTCGTCCCCAAAGAGCATGAGGGTGACCCTCCCAC